CCCCCCTTTAGTGGGGGGGGTGTTCAATAGCCAGTCTGCTATTGGCTATTTAAATTAAAATGCTGCTTACATTCACCTGTCGCCTGTGGAAGCTATCCAGCAGGAGAATGGGGCTGCGCAGGGGGTTATTTGGGGAGTCCATGCTGTTGTCAAACCCTCAACCATGGATAGGAGCGGTGCCTTCTAGTGAGGAACGCTCTGACGAGCCTTGAGCGAGAGCAAAGAAAAGAGAATACAAGTACAACCAGTGGTTATTTCAATGAAAGCTATGTTGGAAATGCAACAGCATATTAAAATGTACTGATAAGTCTTTTGAGCTGTAGATGGCGCTGTAGTGCAATGTTAAAATTGTGTGTATCTTCCTGCACTCCTTACCGGATATCCTAGGAGATGATGTCTGTAATAGGGTGCTTGTAGTGACCACGGAGGCACCGTGTAGTCAAGTAGTAATTCCAAAAGATGTCACCAGCACTCCAAAAGTAGATTCAATATATTTTAATGACAACGGTCATTCAAAATCACAAGTACTTTCGGGGCCACGTTGGGTCCCCGTCATCAGGATCAGACCCTGATGACGGTGACCCAACGTGGCCCCGAAAGTACTTGTGATTTTGAATGACCGTTGTCATTAAAATATATTGAATCTACTGTTGGAGTGCTGGTGACATGTTTTGGAATTACTAGTAGTGCAATGTTACTCTCTATGTGCATGCTTATATATGATACACAGCAAGTTCTTTTTTTATATATGTTTTCCTGCACAATGACATATTCATACATGAAATGGTCTTCTAAGCAAGTACAACTTAATTCAGCATTCCTCAAGATCTCAGTGCTTCAGCTAAACACATAACCAACAAGCTTCAGATTTAAAAAGTCTGAATATGACTTCCAAAATTACATTAAAGGGCATGTACACCCTAACAACAAACTCTTCTTATGTGGTCCCTTTTGATCTGTTAAATGTACCATTGAAAGCGTTTTGTAGTATGTGTTTGATAAATGCCAAGAATACCCGTTAATCCTGTTCTCTACCTGTGCTCCATTCTCGTCAGCTATATTGTACTCTGAGGACTACAGAACCATGCTCCTCTATGTTATAAACAATAGCAGAGGGACAAAGTCTTGCTGTCGTTTCCTATTTCTGTTGTCCTGATACAGTAGAGTGAGTGAGCGTTGTTAGCCTAGGACAGAAAGCGTGTTATCGGTAGGATCACCAGGCAAAAAGAAAAGAAGTCTGAGAAAAAGGAAAACAAATGCAGCCACCACATCATTGCAGCACTGGAAAGCTGCAATATACTCTATGACATTTCTATTTTTTGGTTGAAATATGTTTTAATAATTGTCTGCCCATCTACAGAAGATTTGGGCAGTATATAAATTAGCATTTGAAGGAGTTATAAAATCCCAGCATATAGCCTCTCCTGTTATAACATCAGCATTGTAATAGGAATACATAGCAGAGTTGTGTCTGATAACGCAATCAAAGCTTACCTAAACAAAATCCCTTATATGTAGGGAGTGTTGCCGTCTGTCTGCCCATCACTTCCAACATCTCCCTGGATTCCCGGCGTGCTTTGCGTCTCTTTCCCTGCTGCATGGTGTGATGTAATTACCATTTCTCAAGTCTACCTATCCCATCATGCATTGCTTCCAGCAAGCAGTGATAATGTTACATTGTTCAGAGGTTGAGTTGTAGTTCAGAAGGAAGACTCTGTGAGAGTGGTGACACCAGGAAACGAAATATATAGACACCGGCACTCCAATAGCAAGTCAAATACGTCTGTTTATTGACATATGAGCAGCATAACGAGATACACTCAATGCAACGTTTCGGGGGCTCGCAGGATCACCTTCAACAGGCAGAACAAGTGATGAAGGGAATCCTGTCAGACCCCGAACAGTCGCATTAAGTGTATCATGTTATGCTGCTCATACGGCAATAAACAGACGTATCTGACTTGCAATTGCAGTGTCGGTGTCTATATATTGTGTTTGATATTGACCACGATTGCCAACCGTCGAGAGCTGCAGTACCCACCCTCATTATCTTTGGAACAGCAGTTTCGAGTGTGATGGGTTCATGGACTTTGGTGACACCAGGAAGTGCATATTCACATTGCTGAGTGAAATTGTGTCAGTGCATTGAGGAAGTCCATCCTATTGGCACCTTTAAAGGAGAACTATGAGGTGAGTGATTTTCACTCATCCTCATAGTTCTAGCCGACCTGTGACAATGAAACTGTCACAGGTCGGCTCAGTAGATCGGGAAGTGAGCGAACACATACCGGCGCTCGCTCACTTCTCGATCCTGTCACTGCAGAGAGCCATGACAGAGGAGGGACTGGATTTCCCCCACTCCCCTCTCCGATCCTCCAGCGCTGACTGGCGGAACGGACGGGGAGGGGGCGGGTACAGCTCGCTCTGTCTCTAGATAGGCAGAGCCAGCTGTCACTCACGCAGCTGGGTGGATCCAGACATAATTGCCGGGATCCGTTTTAGCTGCGGCGTCTCAGTATACCGCGAGCTGTAGCTCGCGGTATACTGAGCTTTGGGTGACGGGAGGACGCTAGTTTGTGTCCTCCCGTTACCCTTAGGAGAACTATGGGGAAAAGCCCTAACCCCATAGTTCTCCTTTAGTAAGTAAGTTTACACACTTCTAGATGGATCTGGTTATTAGGAGTGAGATAAAACTTATGGAAATTCAATATAGAAATGTATTTTTAGCTTTTGACCATAGATGCCATTTAATGATACAAAAAAGAATAAAAGTTAAAAAGTTGACAAAAACCTTTAGCTGGATTTATTGTGCCCTATATAGTAACCCGATTTTACTGCGCTCTGATTGGAACATTACAGGCTACTGTTTTGCACATCATTGTTGCTCTTTTTCTCATGAACTAGGGTTGAACATGTAGCGTCTCTGTCTTTGGGCTGCTTTGTCTATTTTTAGAGGCAGGATGTATTCAAATCTGAAAGAAGATGTTTAAACAAATTTATTCAAAAGATGGCTCAGCTTCTTGTGCAAAACAATCCCGCTCGCAAGTCAAATCATTTTGAAAATATTCTTCTTCTCCAGGTAAAGTTCATCATTATCTCTGCACTGTATTAAGTTGTAGAAATATTTCTCTCTCCAGATAACGAGGTGCTACAATGCCGATCCCGGGGGTCTACCAGAAGGTGGCAGAGGGGCAGCAGTCTCAGAGGAAGATCGGAACCGTAGAAAACCCCAAAAAGTTCAAAGGACAAGACTTCAATAGCCTGCGGGAGATGTGTCTGAACCGGAGGCAGCTGTTCGAGGACGATGTGTTCCCCGCCAGCCTCTATTCCATTGGACAAGATCAGCTGTCCCAGGACAAACTACTCAGCATTAAATGGAAACGACCAAGCGTAAGTAACCTACCGTATGGGATTTGGGGGGATTCATCATGGAAGGCGCCGAGCAATAGAAGGGCAAAATAAAATAAGACATACAAAATACCCACCTGATAATCAGTTCTCAAAAAAGGTCCAATGGCATCCAAAGAGAATATCCCAAAGAACCCCCTCCGTTCCACCCAAGCCAGACCTTGCACATGTGTTTACATATTACATTACATTGCATTAATATATATATATATTTTAGTGTGCGGACACCCGGACCCGCACAGATCTGCAATCTGCAGGTTTGAGTGTGCGTATGACAGCATGTCATTGCGTGCAGCCGCTACTAGACATGTAAGCTGCGGGAAAAAACAGTTTGGTTCAAATATTTTGTTATTTCAGGAGATCCGAAATTCAATTCGGTTCGGGTTTTGGATGCGGGCAAAATCCGAATTTCCGTTAGTTTCGGATGAGTTTACGAAATTTTTTTGCGAATACCACAGAAAACCATATACAGATATTAATACTAAAACTGAATCTCCCAGACCTGAATGGCATTCTGCATATGAATCTCCAAATTGCATTCGGGAGCTCCCAAATGCCATTCGGGTCTGGGAGCCATATACATACAGTATATTACTGCTGAGGCTCCTAGACCCGAATGGCTTTTGGGAGCTTGGGAGTTAGGACCCCACTATATAGAGGTGCCTTGGCGAGGCATTGCGCCTTTCACGTTTTCTGCAGAAGACGTGTATCTAAACCTCTGCTTTTAACCTTAGCGGTGAGACAAGTTTTTTTGCATGCTGGCTGGTGAGTGTGCTGGGAAACTTTTTGTTTTTACGGGTTTGCACGCCGTATGGACGTGTACGCCTGTCTGAATGAGTCCCAAGACAGCCAGCACCTGTGACTATCTGAATACCTTAACAGTGACTGCATTTATTTGGCTCTCTTGACACCACCCAACAAGACAAAAGTCAACTTTAAAAATCAAAGGGGCCGAACAGCAACTGCATCCAATCAGATGTCATCAGTGTTTGTTATTCAGACAACCACAGGTATCACGTCTGTCTGAATACAATAGCCAGCAGTGCAGGTTCTTCCATTCACACTAGGATGGGGAGTCAAGTGATGAACAAAAGAATTGTACACATCATGTATGGCTAGCCTTAGATTGAGGAAGAAGAGAGTCCCCCAGCAGATCAGGGGAGGGATCTCATCTAATATCACACTGATAATGGTGTTCTATGGATACCTTTGTACAGTATAATAATGATACATTTCAGGGGCGTAACTAGAAATCTCAGGGCCCCATAGCAAAATTTTGTATGGGGCCGTGTGATTTCGATTTACCCCCTTTGCAGAGCCCACTTGAGATCCCACACAGCCCACCTGAGGGTGACCCTGCAGAGCCCACCATACACTCTCTATGGTGGGCTCTGTAGGGTCTCAGATGGGCTGGTCACACTCCTTACCTGTTCGCCTCCTCTTCCTCTACGATCGCTGATGGGCCCCCACCTCCTCCTCCGTCGCCGGGCCCGCCTCCTTCTCATCACCGGGCCCCACCTCCTCCTATGCTGCCGACCCCGGGCCCCGCCTCCTCCTCCATTGCTGGGCCCAGCCTCCTCCACCGCCGCTGCTGGCTCTCACTGACTCAGCAGCGGCTGTGGAGAGGAGGAACATACTGCTGCACAGATCACTGTTAGTGATCTGAACAGCGGCGTGTTCCTCTTCACAGCCAGCAGTATGAGATGCCATAGCGACTTAGGCGGCCCACACGGCATCAGGGATGTCCTGGCCATGCTCCCCTGTGTCCCAAACCCCAAAGCGGCTGCCTGGGTCGCCATGGTGATTGTTACGCCACTAATACATTTATTACATTTTGCTCTCCATAATGGATACATTCTCCAAGGCTCTCCAGATGACAAGGAATGAGTGTTCACGTGTCTTTGGGTGTACTTGAGCATGTAACAAAATACATTTACACTGTTGAGACCGTGTATATGGTATGAGATTATCTTGTATGATTAGCTAATATTGAACTGTAGGAGCTCCGATGCGGCACAATGGGACACCACAAACAAATATGTACAAATAAGGTGTGCACCAGCGAAGGTTTGGTGCTGTTCATTAATAACATATTGTGACAAGGCGATTCTAAAAAAATAATAACTGCCTGGAACTGATCCTGATACCAACTGCTGGAGGTCATTCTGCAATACAGATATTCCAAATGTTGGCACTGGATGACTTGAGTGGTGCTAACGTTTCCATTAGGCCTCATTCACACTGCTAAGAGCCGATTTGTGCGGCATGCACGGCCATATCGGGCCGCTCCCGGGAAGGAAAGGTGCTGCGTGTGATTGTACACAGCAGCCTGTTCTTCTCTATGGAAGTACGCTGCCGTACGCTCACCCGAGTGGCACATCCATGTGGGTGGGATGGATCCTGTCTGCGTCTGAGCACAGACGGCTGCGTACTCCCATAGAGAAGAACAGGCTGCTGTGTGGAATGGGGAGAATGGGGAGTGCCAGACTGGTACACAGTGCTATTGCTGGTATACAGCCCTGTATGGCTCTATATAGGACAATGTAGGTCTATACCCAATCACCAAAATCTCATATAAGCTTTAACAGGTTATTATAATCTCAAAAGTTATTTGTAGTCATTTCATTTAAATAATAGCTGGTGGTCCTGCCATGAAGGTCCTTGTCTTGGCACTTCCTCTTACGGAGTGACAACTCTTTCCCAGTCGTGCACCTATGTTGCAACCCTCGATAGATAGATATATCTTGCTGCACTCCTTACCGGGTTTATTTAGCAACCTGTAAATCACACGTGGGTGCTTGCAGTGACCAGGGACGGCACCGTGAAGTATACAGCGATTTCAAAGGCTGTCACCAGCAGAACGTAATGCCAAGTGACACAGCAAAAAACCAAACCCAGGTTATTGCAGTGTCATTCTGAGCCTGATGGGCGCCCTGTGTGACTTCGAAAGCGCTTGTATGTTGTCACCCTGTCACTTGCCCCCCCCTGGTGGAGACTACAAGGGTCGTGCCAAGACACATGGCATGAACATGATCACTAAAAAGAAGCCGTTCCAGAGCAATGATTGCATTTTGACCACCAAATGGAGCTGAAGAGCATAGGAAATAAATATTTTCTTTCAAAGGAATGATAGGGATAACAATGAAAGGTCATTCTAAATTCTGGCCACTAGATGGAGCTAAGGAGCATTTGCTTTTCAGGTTAAACGTATGTACGGTAAGCTAATACTGCATTCTGACCACTAGATGAAGCTGACCAGCACAGGAAATAAATAATTCTTTCTAATGCTCCTCAGCTCCATCTAGCTCCAAATTTGAGCCTCAGTTGCACTGCGTGTGCAGAATTTAAGTGGGTGTGGTGCCACCCCTGGCAACAATGGGACCTAGCCCACGGTCTATGTGGCCTATTGGCAAATCTGGCCCTGGTGTTGAGACATCTGTTACCTAATCTAATATACAGAGTTGCCCAGATTAAGATATAGAGAAGTGAAGACACAGGTGTGGTGTCCAGATTAATATCATATTACTGTATAATATTACAGAACACCGCCCACGTCCTCATTTCATTAACATAAGGGGAGGTGTACAAGGCTGAACAGGGCAGGGCTGACACCACTGCTTGTGATTTCAGTGCAGCACAGGCAGAGTCGGCAGCAGAGGCAGAGTCGGCAGCAGAGTCGGCAGCATATTGCTGCATATTAAAAGAGACTGGACATCAGGGCAATGTTCATGTGTTGCAATGATGTACTAGATAATTTTCTTTTTTTAATTTCGGATTGACATACACTTGAAGGAGACCCTGCCAAGCTTTTAAAATACAAAGGCCATTGCCTACATGGCATCTGCCTTCTAATATTGGTCATGGATGTCTCCATCTTGTACAGACCCAGCCGCCAGTATATCCTATAGGCATGGCTTGGACTGTGTCTCCAGCCCTTGGAGGTATTTACTTAGCTGCCTGTGTTGAGGGTGTGAGAGAAGTCAGAGTTAATTGATATATTTGTAGCAGTATAAGCCAGGCCGGTTACTCTGTAATATGATATAGGCAGTTACCGCGGTGCCGGAGCATAAAAGAACCAACCTGCTCTATGTGAACCTGGCTGATCTAATTCTATGTACACATCTATAGCGGAGGCTCTAAAGTTCACTGCAGTTTTCTTCCTTGTCACAGCGCAGATAATCCTGAACACAGAGGATTAGTTTGATGTCTCAGCTCTTCGGGCCAATCAATACCCGCGCACCCCCCGGGGGAATCGGCTAGAAGAAATTAATGGAACTGACCCTGGGAGAATAGCTGATATATCTGCATGCTAAGTAATGTGTCATTGCAACACTTCCAGGTATTCATTACCTATCCTAGTACTCGACAATGTACTCCTAGTACTCGGTCCTGAAATGTCACTTCTGTCCGACTTTGTGACTGTGATCTCACATTCCACAAAGTCGGATAGAAGTGACATTTCAGGACCGATCAGCTGTTCCAGGGCAGATCGGTTCTCCTGCACATACCCCCTGCGATGCCCATCTGCCCTGGAACAACTGAGAAAGCGTTGGAATTCTTCACCTTTTGCCGGTCACTCATTCCACCGCCGAAAAAGTGGCTGTGATTACGTTAAAATGTGTGACCACGTCACTGGTCACACATTCCAACCCAGTCACAATCTTTGATAGAACACCGGCTCTGAGATGACAATCATGTAGACAGGGCCAGCCTTAGGCCTTTAGGCGCCCTGTGCGAGAAAGCTTTACAGCGCCCCTCGGTGACCACACCCCTCAGTGGCCACACCCATTAGTGGCCACACCCGCAGTAACCACACCCATTTATCACCCATATTTTTGGTAAAATATAAAAAGACGGGGTCATGTCGGGTAAATAATTGCTGCACAGTTGCAGTCTGCTCACTGGCAGAGAGGAGACTGAGGAAATGCTTCCTCCTGCCTGCAGCTCAGCCTAGCCAAAATAACGTAGCCTCCATTCACATA